TTCTTAGTTTAGTGGTTGAGGGCTGTGTGCTTTGTAGTACATGTATCACATAATTTGAATCAAATTTGATCACATTTTTAATAATTGGAATTTTATTCGCCATTAATGGACCTTTGGTTTTTGTTAGCTGGTTGGTTCTAATTAATCATTGTCCTGTAACTTCCACAAAGAAGTATGTCTGGCGAGATATATAGTTATCGTTTTCATGATTTAGAGTGGGAGGATAAGAAAGCTACAACTAATTGGTGTGTAAGCTAAGGTTTAATTAGTTCTGTCTATGAATGTCAATTTTGTATGAAATAAATGTTTGGTCAAGCTTAAGGTTCCATTGGATGGCTACTAGTGGGTTTATCGCAAAAAAGGCATTTGAAACCAATGCTCATACCAACACCATTGAAGGCATGTACATCCACATGAAATGTAAGTTTTACTAGTGAGGTCTTTGGCTGTCATGGGCAGTTAAAAAATTTTGGGAAATGCATTTTATACAAATTTGTAAGCACAAAGTAAGCAACATTATTAATCAGAAAGGAAAAAGCCATCACTTATTACTTCCACATGGGAAAAAAACCTCCAAACGAATATCTAAAAAAGGTATGTACTATTTCTAATGTTTCTAAAGTTAGATCATTGGTAACAGCAGAAAATCCGCTGATGCATAAATCAATTGCAAAGTCTTTAAATACATTTGTGGCTACAATAAATAAAATAATAAACCAAGATTTACGACTTAAGAATTATTTTTAAAAAAATTGCTAAGGCATTAGGCTGAATGCAAAACAATTTGTAGAACCGTATATGAAAACTATTTAGCAGGATATAAGTGTAGCAATGCAAAGGAAGTTTGAGTAAGAGTTTTATGATTGTCGGATGATCCTTTTACAGTGGGAAATTAAAAATAATGAGTGGAAAAAAAATTGTAAAATCAACTCAACCTACTATCAAGGAAGTTTTATATCTGATATTTTTAGAAAAATTCCATTTTTTTATTCCAGTACTTTTAAGTGAAATTTTATCAAGGCAAGCAAGTGATACTTCAAAAAGTACCATTACATACCTTGAAACAATGGAGATTGATACAGATATTGCATATAGTATACCTTTTCAATGAATTTCTGCCAAGTTCCCCGACGTTTCACGTATGGACTATTCTGCCTTTAGTCTCTTGAAAAGAAGTCTATCTACATTTAAACCCTCTACAATTTATGGACTCTGGAAAGTAGTGAAAGAGGAATGGAAATAAATACTTCTGGAAGTTTTATGAAAAGCGCATCTATCATAGAAATCATTATGCAGATTTATAGTACCAAAAAAAGGCTATTATATCAGACATTAAAAAAAAGCTCTTTACATTTTAAACATTAATTAAACAGCTCTAAAATTGTTCTAAAAACATGTAAACACTCTCTGTATTTCAGCTATTGTTTGTCATGGGGGAAGATAGTATATATATATATATATATATATAGATGTATCTATTGCATTAACATCTAATAGATCTGATGTTAACTATTTCCAGTTGGAGCTAGAGTTATGGCAAGTTAATCCTTTGATCTAAATCCTTTGAAAAATTGACGTGAAGGTTAATGGGATTTTAAGGTGTTCCAATGAATTTAATTAGCAACTTTACTTTTTTCTGAATTGCAGAAATTTGTCTATTGATTTTATTCTTAAGTTTTTCAACAATATCAGATATGTATACTGTTTGCTGAAAAATGTACTTATATTCATTTCCATAAATTTTGGGTGTTGAACAGAATTCTTGAGAATGTTTTAAGTTAAAATAAAAAGCAGCTGTTTTAAGGAGTGAAACTGAAAAGAATCAAATGAGGTTGTTGCTGCATTAATATTTGGTTTAAGTAGGTTGCAGTATGAAGTTTGTCGTTTCTTAAGGAGATCTAAGAGTTAAATGCCGTTATTATTAATTGTAGTTTAGAAGGATTGTTAGGAAAGTTTTCCAAGATAACTTGAAAAAGTGGTTTGAGTTCATTGTCTGAATATTTTCCATTGGGCAAAGATATCATCAATATCTCTCTTCCCAATTTTTATGGGGGAGAGGGGGAGATTCTTTGAAATAATATTTTCTACATGTTCTCTATAAATTTTAGCCAAGATTGAAGACATTGAAGCTTTATTAAAAAGTCCTTGCTATTTATAGGCTTACTTAGTAACTTCAAATATTGTAAAATTTTGAATTATGTGGAAGGTTCATAGATGGCAGTGAAAAATTTAGGTGTAATTTTTAGTTGTTCAATCAAGAGTAGTTGGGACTCAAACCAAGGGATGGATGAAAACAAAGACATGAGTAGTAAGAATGATAGTATTGGAAATGATTATTTATGAATGGAAATGACCATTTATTAATTCCAGAAATGATTATTGAATTGAGAATGATTATTTTTGGAATTTAGGAATAGAAAAGTGGAGAAAGTTTGGCAAGTTTTTGTTCAAATTTGTTTTGAGTCTGAAAATCTGCTATTTATTAAAAGACTTAATCAATAACATTCTTTATATATTTTAATCTACGTGAAAAGTCATACAGTATCTCACAAAAGTGATGGGACACTTGTGCTTTACAAAAGGAAACTAATAAAATAAATTAAAAAACATGTAAAAATTTTTTGTGGGTGTGTTTCATACTTAAATTTAGTAACAATTATTACATAACATACGTTTTTTCAAAATATTAAAATATTAATTTAATAAAAATACAGTTGTTTAAAACGGAGCAAAAAATTGCTCACATAAGTGATGGGACACCATTAGATACTACTACGTACTACAATAAAACTATTTTTTTTTTGGTTTTTATTTTTACTCAGAAGCAATTGGCAATAATTTCTAAAATCATTTGCAGTATTTCTCTCCAGTTTGTTTTGGAATTTTTGTGTTTTTTAGCTCTGTGCAGCCATGAATGCTAAACAAAAGGAAACTTTGCCTGAAATTCGAAAATTAGTTGTTAATTTGCATACTGAACGTGGAAAATCTATTAGAGAAACTCCTGAAACAGTTAACTTGAGTCATTCAACAGTTTACAATATCATTAAACGATATAAAAAGAATCATATGATTCAGGATAAAAGAAGACCTGGCCGACCATCAAAGCTCCAATGGAATAAAGCGAATTATCGTTCGAAATATTAAAAAAAACCCAAGAATGAGTGCTCCTAAAGTTGCTGCTGATTTACAAGCATTATATGGAGTAATTGTTAAACCTGAGACTATTAGAAGAGTAATTCGATCTGCTGGATATCCCGGTAGAGCAGCCAGGAAAAAATTCTTCGTAAGTGAAAAGAATAGAAAACTCAGACTGGCTTTCGCAAAATCCAACATAAATAAGAATTCTGATTACTGGAATGAAGTTATATTTGCTGATGAGAGTAAATTGAATATATTTGGTTCTGATGGTAGAATCTTGGTGTGGAGAAAACCCAGGGAAGAATTTCGAAAATAGAACTTGGTGCCAACAGTAAAACACAGTGGAGGAGGAGTTATTGTATGGGGGTGTATGTCGTCCGCTGGAGTTGGTACTCTTGTTTTTATTGACAGTATAATGGATCAGTACAAATATATTGACATTTTAAATCAAAATTTGAAATCTTCAGCGCAAAAATTGAACCTTCATAACAATTTAAAATTCTACCAGGACAATGACCCCACGCACACTGCTTTGAACATTAGACTCTGGCTGCTGTAACTGTCCTGAAATAATAAAAACACCTCCACAATCTCCAGACTTAAATCCCAGACAGAATATTTGGCAATAATTGGAATCAAGAATTCGCAAACACCATTTCTTCAAAACAGCAATTAAAATCGGTGCTTCAAGAAGAATGGGGTAAAATCACTCCAGAAATCACAAAAAAATTAGTCTAATCCGTCCCAAGAAGATTAAATCATGTTTTAAAAGTAAAAGGAAATCCAACAAAATATTAAAACCTTTTAAAAAGTAAAATTTTTGGATAAATATTTGATGGAAAAGTAAGTGTTCCATCACTTATGTGAGCCATTTTTTGCTCCGTTCTAAACAATTGTATTTTTATTAAATTAATATTTTAAGAAAATGTATGTTATGTAATAATTGTAACTAAATTTAAGTATGAAACACACCCACAAAAAATTTTTACATGTTTTTAAAATTTATTTTACTACAGTTTCCTTTTGTAAAGCACAAGTGTCCCATCACTTTTGTGAGACACTGTAGATACTGTATTCAAGATTAGGCTTAATATTGTCAAGGCTTCATATCCAGATATTCTGCAAACCATTGAGATTGCACTATATAGCTTATTAATACTGATGCTGTTTCTAACAATTTATGTACTAAATACATAGGCCATTAAAATAATTTAAGCTGTTAGACACCTGTCTTCCTGGAGAGACCAATTCCCACTTTGCTTGCTGTTACGAGAGGTAATACAATTATGAGCAATAACTGGATAATTTTGAGGCCTCCTAAAATCTGAGACCCTAGGCCCAGGTAGTCATCAGACATTATACATAGGGTGGAATCCCCCCCTATTGGCAAGCCATATATGTTATTTAGAGCAAACTGAACATATTGATGCTTCATTCTGCAGTAGTCGGAATATTGGAGAATAATATTGGTTCAAAATATTCAAAATGACCTAGTAGTTTGTTACTGTGAATACACTTTATTTTCTGTTAAAGAGAATTTGTCAATATATTTTTCTGGGATCATGTTATCTCTCATATATCCAGAATTGCAGCTGAGTAATTTACTTGCCTTTTCTTGCATCTCAAAATGTTTTATGTGGCTGACCTTTAATATATCATATAGACATATAGAATATATGCATATAGAAACTAGTAAAAATAAAAAAGTAATATAAATAATTGCTAATTAGAACTTTTACTTTCAAAATAATTTGCATAATTCTTCATTTTTAACCTTTGTTGTTTTGCTTTATGAATACACATGCGGCTTTTTTAGAATAAAGTTAAATGGTATTAATAACCAAATCATAATTTTATTTCAGGTGCTCTTCTGATTGCAGTTAAAATGGATTCAAAAAATACAAGGCAAGTTTCATTTGTTTTTTCATTAATTCCACAGCATTTCAAATTCTGTTGTGATAAATAAGTACCAAGAATAAAATTGTTTTCATCAAGAGTGTGTCATTAAAGTGCAAAACTTTTATTTTTCTTTGATTTTTATCTTTCTGTCTAAAATTAGAATAAATATGGAGAATAAGCAGACATCATTTAAAAATTTATTTGGCTGTATTGTATATCTTGCACAAAAAAAATGGGACAATTCTATATCTTCCGTTTTACTGGACTGATTGTTGAAATTTAACTTTCATTTACCATGCCTTGAAAGCACGACTTACGATATATATTAGATTTATATATAGCGCTGTGCTAACATAGGAATTTTGACATGAAATTGGACTTCTGAATAACATACCGATTTTTTTTCCATATTTCGAATCTACGACTCAAATTATGCCTAGATTAATTTACAAGTCAAACTACAAAAATCAGCGTTATATTTCCAAATTTTCATAGTACTAATTTCGATGATTTTACCGAATCATCATTCTCAGCTGCAAGATTCTCAGATATAGTGATTGGATAAGATAAGAAAGACTGGACAGGAGTTAAGCTACTGGTGCCATCAGTTGATGAAACAAGAACTAAAACATAATTTCCTTAAAGGAAAAGATGGATTGGAATTAGGGTCATGAACTAAAACAGAAATTTTTTGAATAGTTGTGGCTGAAGAAAAATTGAAAGTGTGATTTTTGGACCCACAATGCTAGGCAACAGAAGACTTCTGTGTTTCCTTTTTTCTAACTTGTTCCTCACATGTAACACACATCCAACTTCAGTACTATAGTTTATAGTAAATCTTCATCGATTTGCCTTCCACTACACTTCAAATCATGTCATCCGACTAAACAAAAGTTAGCTTCATTTTATGTTTTCCGTGCACTTCAAGTTTGCTCTTTCAAACTGTCTCTTGATGAAGAAGTAAATTATTTAAAAGCAATAGCTATTGACAGTGGCTTTTCACCCAAAATTATTAATCAAGCAGTTAAAAATTTCTCATCTCAACATACCAAAATACATTTAGAACAATGGTATATATAATTCTAATATATATTCTAAGTTGGGCTTTCGAACCATGTAAATTGTAAGTTAAATTTCGGCAATCAGACCTGTAGAATGGGAGATATAGAACTGTCTCATTCCACAGATGTATTGCTGAAGTATCAAAGGTATAAGAAAAAAAGGTACTTAACGTATTAACACAAACCACCTTGGAAAATTTGGAGATTTTTTACAGATGAAACAATAAAAGTTATTTATCAGGCACAAGTTGGTGATTTGTATGGCAGTAAGGAAATTTACAAACTGTCTTTATTAATCATAAGTCAGCAAACATTATCAAGTTATCAAAAGAAAACACATTTAATTATGTAAGGATTATATGATAAAAAATAAATGAAACATTTAAGAATTTTTGCAAAATCGTTCTGCAATTTTTTGGTCTGTTCTTCCTGTGTATACAACAATCTGTTTTCACTTAAAAAATATCGGAGAATTACACAAACCCAGGATCACACACAACTTCAGAATTGCTTACAGGCTATCAATCAAATGTATTCCATCACTGTTCCTTTTTAGCAATTTCCCTCACATATTTTTTTGCAGTTTTTTCAAGTGGTAGCAAATATTTTAAAATTGAGATTAATGCAATGGTTTGTCTGTAAAAACTGTTGGAACCTGGAATATAACAAAAAGAAAGCATACCAAAATGGGGACGTTGCTTGACAGAAAGATTGTTATGAGTATGATTGCCTGAAGAATGTTTATGTGAATGGTTGCCAGAATTAGGCACATTTTGATTATTTGGCGACTTCTTCTAAGATGATTGCAATAATACGCAAGCACTAAAAAAACTTTAAACAGAAAGATAAACATTTATTAAGATTTTCAAGCAAAATTCTCCATTTTGTTTCTTTCATTTTCAATAAATCTCCCCCCTTTCTAAAAATGTTTAATAGTTTATAAATAATTAATAGTTTATAGGATCAACATCATTAGCAGTTTGTAGACAGACGGAAAGCCACAACTGCATTGCATCTTGGACTATCGGTAATAAGAGAAAGACTTATCATTCTCCAAATTTTTAAGCCTGTAAGAGTTTAAAGATCTCTTAAGATATTAAATGTAAATAAACATTTTAAAAACAGTTTAATCCTCCAATAAGAAATAGCTGTATTAGGATGTTGTAGTAAGCTGGCTCCTCTTTTTGCAACAAAGTCCGCTTGTTCATTGCCTCAAAGGCCACAATGGCCAGGCACCCACTGGAGACCGATTTGTTTCCTCTTTAAAGTGAGAGTTCTCAGGAGTTCTTGACACTGCAAAATTTCAGGTGTTAATAGGTGTTTAACAGAGCTAATTGATTGAATGGCTGCATGAGAATCGGAAAAATGACTGCCCTTTCGAACTTGTAAGGGATAGCTAACAATTGCTTTAGTGCTACACATATTAATATATTAGGGCTATATATGAGAAATTAAAAGCAGCGTAAAACTAAAATACTAGGCTGCTGTGTAAATAGGTTTTGAAACCTGAATACTACTAATTATGTCACTTTTTTGTCAGATGCAAGAACTAATAACAGTAGATTAAAAATGTGTATTGATCATCAGGATTGTTGGACCACAGAAGACCGGATTAAAGGACTACAACTTGTGGGAAGCTATCCTGAAGCATTTCATCCTCACAGTATAAATTAAGCTGCTGTTTATAAACTCATCTACAAATATTTGATTAATGCAGAGGTTTGGTAGATTCTGATCAAAGAATTGTGACAGTTCGGTACTTACGTACTATGACGACTACCTCGGCAACATTTTCCGATTAAAATCTTGAAGCTTTTAAAAATTCAATACAACTGTTTTCAAACCACGTACCAATTTGGACACCAAACTTTTGTTGACAATTTTTGACATTGCATGTCCAATAAAATCCTGAATTATAATTCATATCATGACCGTTTTTACAAACGAGTTTTTTGGGTAAAATTGCAGCCTCTCTGAAACATTCTATTGCTTCTTCTTCATTTGAAGGAAGTTAAAAAAATGTTGATATCCATTAGGAAAAAATAATCACAAAAAGTTTTATGTGTTTAACCTAAACGTAAATGTAGCAAAAAAAGGTGTAATAGCAAGTGGGGTATAATACTCTTTATTTTAGCACCCTCTATAACCTATGTTAGGGTTAACCTGTATAACTTACAACTATTAAGCAATAATTTCTGATTATAAGCTTTTTTTAAAAAAATTTGTTTTAAAAAAGTATTTATTTTATTTATTCATTTATTAATTGAAAAATCCTTCAATATATATATATATATATATATATATACATATTATGCTGCTCTTTTCATGTGTACAGTGATCTGTTTTGATCTAAAAAACAAACTCAACATCGTGCACAAACTTGGCATTTTGCACCAGCCATAATCATGATCACCCAAGAACAGCAGAAACTTTAATGGGCAATCCAAGGTAATACGAATAAAGGAGAGCAAACTCCATAGTTCAGTTACAATTCTTCATGACAAAAACAAATGTTTTGTATGTAAAAAGAAATACTAATCAGAAAAATGACTGTTAAATTTCAAAAGTGCAAATCCACATGTACTCAAACGCATGTGTACTCAATGCATACTCGGGTTGCTACATAAATAGTTTTTAGTGATACGGTGCATTACCTCATCAACGCTTTTTTACTGAAAGTATTGATAATCAGAAAGTACTAATTAAATTTTATATGTTCATGGCAAAAGTGTAAAACAGTTTACATCAAAAATAGGCTTCTTATTTCAGAGCAAAATATGGCTGATAAAAATTCTGATTACACTTCATCAATTATTAAATTTAACTAATTTATTAAACTTAACCTATCAATAATTAAACTTAACTAATAGAATTATGAAAGAAAAATTCAAAGTAAGACTATTATTTGTACTATATATATGGTAACTGAATTCATATAGTTAATGTAATTAATTTTATATTAATTAAATATTAACAAGGATTAATAATTTCAATATTTGGTCTTTTTTTCAGCTGTTTCATGTAATGTTATTTATATTAAAAATAATTAGTATAATACATACCAATCTAGTGAATGCAGCATCTTAATGAAAAAAGGAACTTCTCTCTCTCGAAATGTAAGCATAATAAATGTATAGAAGCGACACACAACCTTAGATTAAATTAGATAAAAAAATACATAACCGTTATATATAACCCTTATCTTTTAAAATCTGTGCCAATCTTAAGTTTTTTTGGGGGAAGGGGAGGAGGGGTAATTTTTGTAATTTGCACCTAAGCAACTTAAAAAATATATGCAGTTTTATAGATTTCAAAATATTAAAAGATATTGCGGTACTATTCGGTTTCGAGGGCTGTAAAAAATCGCCAAACTATTGTTGATGCCATTGCTGCCAAAAATAATTGCGGCAACTCTAATAATTGTGGCAAGAAAGGAAGTATAATAGTAATAGTAAATAAGTATCTAAGATTGATTTTTTAATTTAGATGAAAGGTTAATTTCATATAATACTTTTTTATTATTATAATTTATATGAAAAAGGCTAAACATGACTGAATGGAAGCGTAAGAGTGAATAACTATTTCAGATCATTATTATAATTTATATAAAAATTGCTAAACATAACTGAATGGATGCCTGCATCACTATTTTGCTACCGACTTATCACTAAAGCATAATTTCATCTCGTTGGTTGTTCAAACGTAATTTTCTATAATGAATGATGCCTTTTCTTTGAAAATATTCTCAGTAAAGTGCAGAATCGCTCACTTATTTGTTTTCCGCTTTTTACAAGGGTAGAAACAATTGAATTTTTGTCAAATTTTTTTATACTTTTTAAGTGAAAATAGGTCGATGTGTACATAGATACAGCCAAGGGTGTGTGCAGTACCATTTTTGTGCAATTCTGGGATTCTTTTTTTAAGTGAAAATAGGTCGATGTGCACATGGATACGAAATATGTGCAATTCTTAAAAACGCGTCAAACAGTGGGTGATTCTGCACTTTACCCAAAATTCTATTGCCAACTTTTTGTCATGGGCAATTCCCAAGTTGTTAAATCCATAGGATATTACAAAATGATTTAAAATCAAAGGATTTAAAAATTAAACTAGTATTTCAATGGTGTCTTAAGAATATAGAAGTATATAAATTTACGCAATCTGAAATCAGCGCGTATGCTAGATTTGGCGCGCTGTTAAATGGGCGTGTTTGCTAGATTTGGCACTTTTGTGCATACATTTTCGCTGCAATTTTTTACGGTCCTCAAAATGGAATAGTACCTATTTTGCTATATTTATTAATGTATTTTTGCATTTCAGTTTGAGGGAACCAGTTTGTATTGATGATGAAGTATTTTTTGGACCCATTGGAGAGACTGAGATAAAAGTCAAAGGATCATTTGCAGAAAATTTATGTGATAGTTCTACAAATATTCTCAAAAAGAATTTTGTGGAAGAGAAAAATGATGTATCAGATGACGAATATCAAAAACATGAAACATCTTCTCTTTATAACAGTTTTTCAATGGAAAATAGCAAGTATGAGAGTTTTGAAGACAGTCTGGATCAAAGATATTGTGCTTCAGGCTTATCAGAGCGTTTGAATGACAGTATTAGGTTGGCTCATAGCAGACAACGAATGAAAAATACTGTTTTGTATGATAGCTTGGAAGACATATGTTCACTTGCATCCAACATTGATAGAGGTAGTATTTCTGCCGATATAGAAAATGTAACAAATCTTTTAGAAAAACAGTTTATAAGTGAGGATTCTTTAAGGAATGTCCCAGAAAACATTTTGAACAAAGAATCAAATCCTAATGAGCATCTTCATTTTGATGAGGATTCTTTAGCTATTTTTGAACATGAAAAGACTTTTGACGACAGTTTAGAGGAATTTAGTGAAGTACAGAAGTTGCATATTTCAGAAAGCATGGAATGTGTAGAAAAACAAAGTATATTTGTGCAAGAAATAAATGAAAATGCTCCAGGGATAACAAGAAATCTTTTTGAAACTTCTGTGGATGTTATTTATGAGAAGAATGAAAACTTTTTAACCTTTGAAAAGAAAATTCTTGATGAAAACTGCACACAGCTTAATTCCTTTTCTAAATGTGATAGTACTGACAATTTTAAAGATAGTTTAGATGAATCACAGCATTCATCTCTTTCTGGAAAAGAAAATGTTATTAATGATGAACATAATGAAAATAAATCTGTGCCTGCAAACACAGCTGATATAAGTTCTTTAGTTGTATCTGAAGTGAGCAGATCTTTAATGCCACCTATTTTTGAAAACTGTGCATCTGATTCTGTAAAAATAGTTTGCAACACTGCTACTTGCAACTCTAATATAGTTAATCATACAATTGATGAAAAATGTACTCTCAAAAAAGAGGTTGATATAGGTAATAATTGTTGTACTAAATGTGTATCACAAGATAAATATGATTGTAAACCACATGCTAATTCAAATGATGTTTTATGTTTTGATAACCATGGTAGCTTATCTTCAAATCATGAGCTTGGTATGAAAAATAATATAAAAAGCGAGAAAGTACAATGTTATGATGAGAAAATTAGCAACCAAGATTATAGTAAGCAGAAGTCTATGCAAGATACTGATCCAAATACTGCTGCTTCTGTATGTGGTAATGCTGATTTGAATGGAAATTCAAGTGATACAAATTTGCCACAAATCTCTAATAAAACTAACATTATTGAGGATTATGATGACAGGGACTACTTTAATCAGTCTAACAATAATACAAAGAGAAGTGCAAGAAAATGCAAATATTTTAATGACGGAAAATCATCACTAGAACTTTGTGATCAGATATGGTATACGAAGTCAAATGATACTATTTATATTGAAGATGAGGATTTTGAGAGTCCATCTAAAGTATACATGAATGCAGTCTTGAATAATAAAACAAATCAAGATCAAATAACAGATACCCAAACTTTTCATGTTACAGAAGATATTTGTGATTTGAAACCTAATGTGAATTCTAATGATACAATATATATTGATGATGATGATGACGATGACGTCAATCATCATTTGTGTGCATCTAGTAATGTTAATTTGAATGAAATTGCAAATAATGAAGTAATTAACTGTGACCAATTAATACATGCTTCTAAATTTGTAGTTTCAGAACCATCACAGCAGACCTATAGCCATAAATCATGCATCAACTCAAATGATACAATAATAATAGAAGATGAAGACTCTTTCAATGTATCTCAAGTGATTAAAAAAGAAATTTCAAATGATAAAAAAAAAGACGAGCAATTAACAAACATGCAAAATTTTGCATGTGCTTCAGAGCCTCAGGACGTGTGTGACCAAAAACCACATTTAAATTCAAATGATACAGTTTTTATTGATGATAATGAAGATTGCAGTTATTCATCATCAAATATTAAACCACATGGGAATTCAAATAATACTATAATTATTGATCATGATGATTGCATATATCCATCATCTGAATTTAATATCAATGAAATTTTGAAAATCAAAGAAGAAAAAGTTATTGAAGGAAAAGATTCAATTTTTCTAACAGGAGAAATATTGAACTCAATGAGTAATCACACTGAATTGACCGAAAGGTGTGCCAAATCACCTAGTAAATCTTATCATAATCCTAGATTTGTAGAAGAGTTTTCAAAAGGTGATTTATGCAGAAGTAATTTTGAGAATGCAAGTCAGCCAAGTAGGCTCGCAACTCAAAGTAATAATTTGGAAAATGTTCCAGGAACTGACTGTCGCATAGTAATAAACGATCAGAGTTTTAATTATGCAAACGACGACATAGAAACTTTACATAAAAAATTGACATCTGATTTAAATTTGAAGTTGCAAGTACAACTTAAAATTGGAAATGTACAGTGTCAAATTGCAGCATCAGCTATTGAGCTAAAGCCTGTTGAATCTGAAGAGTGTGCTGTGGATAGTAAATCAGATTTAATTAAAGAATGTAAATATGAAAACATAAAAACATCAGTAAAACATTGCATTCCCAGAGAAATTTCTAGTCCTCAAAAACTTGATAAAAAACTTGCATCTAGAAGAAAGAGTGATGATTCTAAAAAGTTTCAGAATAATTCAAGTGCTAATAAAACATATCTGGTACATGCTTTAGATTTACATGATACCTCACTGAGTTTTAGAGAAAGCACAAGAATACAGTCTAAGGATTCTATTATCCCACTGAATCTGTGTACAAGAGAAAATTATTTTGAAATGTCAAATTTGAGAACTGAAAGTAAAGAGAATATTCCTGCATGTAAGACTCCATTTGATGTTTTACAGAGAAAAGTCATTGCATCTAATAATAAATATAAGAATCAATACACTTTTAAACAAAATAAGATATCTCCTTCAAAAATGTTTTCAGCTAAAACTCCTACTAGTGAAAATAAGCAGCCCAGTTATTTGAAGAAATCTTCTGGTACAAAGATTCCCATTCGAAAAGCTGATAATGATGTTACACCATCAAAAAGGACTCCAAAAGCAGGGGTAAAAAATGTATCGTCTCCCTTAAAATACAATATACCTGCGGTCAAATCGGTTAGAAAGTGTAGTCCTTCTGATAAAATGCCTTCTGAATTGATAACTCATAATAAAACTCCTCATTATTGCATTCCTCATTCTAATTCCAGTTCTAAACTTCCAAAATCTGCTCAAATGCTTTCATCAAAGAAATATCAAAATATTGAGAGCCCTGTAGCAAAGGTATGTAGTTTTATGTATTCTCTCTAATTGTCATAAAATGAAATGTGGTATAGAGAAAAAAATTGTGTTTAATACTTAGATAATAATTGTTTATTCAGATATTTTTACTATGATTTTAATGTACAAATAATATATACATTTGTCTTTAACTGCACCTTCATAATATTCACAAAGGCAATAGATTGTATCTCTTTAGATATAATATGAAATCATCATTGGCTTTTAGTGTTCAATTTGTTTTAAACATCTACCTGCAATAGAATTGTTAATTAAAATACATTTTTAATTGAAAATTAAATCTGATAGAAACTTTCAAATAAATTTTATTCTTCAATAACAATAAAATTAGAGGTTTAAGTTAGAGAGAATATTAGAGGTTAAAATTAAAATTAGAGAATTGAGGCAAGTTTATGTTGTTCCACATTTTATATATTTAGAATTTATTCTAACTGTTAATTATCAACTATATTTGTATTTGGAGTTGAAATTTTTTTTTTATTTTACTTCTGAAATTATTTTATTCATAATTTTAATAGGAAATGCTAGGCTCAGGCAGGCTACACCTAAAGGGACGTATTGTTGCTGTCATTAATCATTATAAGGGTGCACTTTTAGTTTTTATAAACTATTTATTTGTAATAATAGAATGTATATTTACAGACACCTGCAATAGCAGCATTGTTCTATTTTCATATCAGTATCCAAAGTGTTGCCAATTACAAGTTACTAAATATTAAATGTTGCCATTTACAAATTATTAAATATTCCATCTTCTGTTTTTTTAAAGAGTTCAAAAGTTTTTTTTTTTTTTTAATCAGTCTAAAATCAGTCCAAATACCTGGCCGGCTTTCTAATCACTCTCCCACTTCTAGTTCTTTGCTCATTGTCCCTTGTTTCTGAGTTAGCAGTATTTGGTAGTTCTTCTAAACTTTGCCCTTGAGAATATGTGGAATCATATCCTTTTACATCTGTTTTCTGTGCATTAACTCCTTGTTCTGTTCCTCTGATATTCTCTTCAACAGCTGATCTGTTTTCTCTAATTTCTTTTCTATTTCTTCTGAATACTGATCCACCTGATCTCAGTATATATGATCAAGGCGTCTTATATATACTTCTTCTACAACTGCTGGTTTCCAGCGATTATTTTAATGTACCCTAACACAATCTCCTTTATTTAGTGATGGTAATGGTTTTGTATGACGATCATAATATGACTTCTGCTTTAGTTCTTTCTTGGTTGAATTTTTTCTTTTACATTTTTCGCAACTTGAGGTTTAAGTAATTCTTCAGATGTAGGAAGAATCGTTCTTGTCCTTCTACTCATAAGTCGTTGAGCTGGTGATCCTAGCATCTGATTAGTTGGAGTGTTGTCCTATGAGCTAACAATAAGGATCAGCATGATCTGCTTGAGCTTTAACAATTTCTTCGCCGTTTGTACTGAACGCTCTGCTAAACCGTTCGACTGTGGTTGGTATGGACTACTTGTTATATGTTTAATTGGTATTTCTTTGCAAATTCTTTACTTGCAAACTGAGGTCCATTATCAAATATCACTATCAATGGTATACCGTATCTTGCAAAATGAGATTTCATGTAATTGATCAACTGTCTGACTTCGAGTATCCGGTAGTTTGGAGATTTAAAAAAAGTTGGAATAGTACTCTACAATTAATAAGTATACATCTTTGTTAATCTCAAATAAATCTGTTGCAATTTTATACCATGGTAAATTGGGAACTTTATGTAGTATCATAGGCTCTCTTATGCTTTTATTGTGGTATTTATTACATATAGGACATTTTGAAATTTTATCTTCTATCTGCTTGTTCATAAGTGGCCAAAACAAAACATCTCTAGCTCTTTTCTTACATTTTTCTATACCAAAATGAATAAATTTAACATCTCTTTTTGCATAGATAAAGGAATAATCACCCTTCCTTCTTTGAAAAATAAGTCATTTTCCATAGTCAATGCATCTGTGTAGTCCCAAAATACTTTGACTTGCGGTTCCACCTGATGTTTCCTTTCTGACCAACCTCTCGGAATATATTTCTTTAAGCATTGTAGTGTAGCATCACATTCACTTTCTTTCTTCAGTTCATAAATTTTGACATCAGATGCTGGAATCAGCATACAAATTTCTGTATCTTCATCATTATCTTCTTCTGTTGTATTCAAATATGTTTTACTAAAAGTGTCTGCTATTAATAAGTCTTTACCCTTTTTGTATCGTATATTTAGATCATATTTTTATAAATTTAACAGCATTCTTTTGCAATTGCTGTGGTGCTTTAAAAAGAGGTTTCTTAATTATGCTTTCTAATGGTCGATGATCAGTTTCAACTGTAATACGCTTGATGAAATTTAGAACATTCAAAAGTAATAGCTAAAAGCTCTTTTTCTATGTGAGCATAATTTTTCTGACTTTTTGTTAGAGCTCTGGAAGCATAAGCAATTGGTTGGTTTTCTTGTAGTAAAACAGCACCTAATCCTTCAGAACTTGCATCTACTGAAGAAAGAGTTACATCCTTATTAACATCATAGAATTTTAATACGGGTGCTTTTGCAACCAATTCTTTAAGTGTTTTGAAAGCTTGTTGATGTTTTTCAGTCCAGTGCCAGTGAACATTTTTCTCAAGTAACTGTCTTAATGGTGCAGTAATAGTAGTTAAGTAGTTAGGAATATATTTGGCTAAATAATTTATCATTCCCCAAAATGTTTGTAGTAAAGGCACATCTGTAGGTTTTGGCATTTTAACAATTGCTTCCACTTTAGAAAAATCAGGTTTTAGTCCATTTTCACTTAACTCATGCCCTATATAATTCACATGATGAACTTTTATTTTACATTTAGCCTTATTGAACTTCAAATTATTTTCTCGTGCTCTCTGGAGCACTTTTTTTTTAAGTTGTAGCTCATGTTCCTTTTCATTAGATCCCCATATTAAAATACCATCTATAATACATTCAATGCCTTCTAGACCTTCTATTATTTGGCTTAATTTTCTTTGGCAAATTTCTGGTAATCTGGTAACCAAAAGGTAATCTTTTAAATTTGTATCTGCCAAAAGGTGTATTGAATGTACACAAATTACTACTTTCTTCTTTTTCTGTAGCATCTATTCTTTTATATTAAAAAAATAAGTCACAACCCATGTGTAAATGTTTACATATATATGAGGGAGTCAGAGTCTGTCATTTTCCCTACCAACTCCACAGCCCTGCTGATAATACCAAGCAGAGTTTTGCTAATCTATGTATTTGTCATGTCTCATATTACCTATGTCAAAAATTAACTTTTCAGTTATTTGAGAAAAGGGGGAGATTGCTGAAATGCAAATTTACAGTCTGAATTTTCAAAAATCTTTCTTGATTTATCATATATTATAAAAATTGGCAGCCATCTCTTAACTGGAAAGTCAGCAGCACATTCATCTTATATACTCCATCTTGACAATTTTCTGCACACTATGCGTTGATAGTATTAAAATGGAGTTTAGACTATTTAATTTAATTGGTAGGAACCAACTGACAGGCAGTTATACTGATCAGCCAAAACATTATAAAACCCTTTAATTTCTGTGTTGCTCTACCTTTGGCATGTAAAACAACCACAGCCTATCATGGTGTCGATTCTCCGAGTCCTTGACAAGTGTCTAGAGGAAGATTGTACTATATTTACAAGCATAAGTCACACAGTTCTCATAGATAAAGAGGATAAGTTCAGAGCACATTTCGGAAGAACTTAAAAGGATTGATAATTCCAGCTAGTCAGGAGATTAGAGCATCAACTAGAATTCTTTAGCATATTCATCAAACGACTGTAGTAAAATTTGAATTTATGAATGTTATCCTGCTAAAAAAATCCGTTTCTGGAGAAAGCAGAAGTCACGAAAGGGTATAACCAATCAGCAGTGATGTTTGTAATGTCCTTAGATGTCACAGTATGTTTTGATAACAACTATTGGTTGTGGTTTGAGTTGATGATATCTGGTAATTCACTTCAGAAAGAGGGATTTTGAACATTTCCATATAAATGTGAATTTATTTTTGGATATAGAGATTTAGAATTATTATTTACACAATTGTATTTACAATTAACTGAATAATGCCTGTGTTAAAGAAACCAAGGTATACTTCCATCCAGATAGTTATTCATATGCTGTAAAAACATGATTCTTCCAGCCAGGCAACACTTTTCTATTGCTGTATGGTGTAGTCACAATATTAATGGCCTTATTAATAAGTATAGGTATGTTGAGTCAACAGGATCATATAAGAGGAGTGTCTGCTATGGAATCTCCCAAGGAGGATTGTGGCCTAACACCATTTGCAACCCACCTTATCAGGGGCTCAAACTTTCCCACTTAATATGGCATTTATTTGCATATACTCATTAGTATTTTTCACTTTGTTTTTATTGTAGTTGTAGTTAGTATTTTTAGTATTTTATGTATATTTTTCTTATTCTTATTTTACATGTATCTTATTTTTGCTACATCCTCATGACTTCCCAAGTTCGCCTTCGCTACACTCAAGGTTGCACGTTCAGCTCTTAAGTTTTTTTGCTACTTGTGCTGGTTATCCTCTTCCTCGACTTCTTGCTTCCTTTGCATTTTTTATCTGTTAAGATAGTTTTACATGATTGGGTCCTATCTATGGCATAATGTTTATCGACCCAGATAAACTGTATTTCTATATGGTATTTTGGCAAAATAATCATCAGTCATCTCCCATTTAAAAGTCTGATAAACTGTATGCTCAGACTTAAACTTGCACTGTATTCTTTTATCATTTGAGCAACTGGCAACTACATAATTACCTTCAATTAGGATAATCTCCAACATTCATATTTGTTGATTAGGCATGGATGTTTAATGCCTTAGCATTTAATACTATTTTCATCTACTTTTCATAGGCAGCAACAGTAGTAGCTCATGAACACCTTAAAATCAGTGCTGAAGATATACGCAGGTCTTTAACTTTCAAGTTACTGTTGTCTGCCCTTTATCAAAGTTAATTAAATCAGCAGCATGTCTTATTACATATACATAGTTGACAAACTAATGCCTGAGTATCTGCAACAACTGTCAAATAACATTTGTACTTGCCATGTGCTATGTATGTCATTCAAGTGAGTCCATTCTCAAGTACTAGGTATGGTCAAGGGTCAAGGGGTGGTCGTAATGTTTTGGCTGGTTGGTGTAGTTGGTATACTATTAATTTTTCTGACCGTACAGAATTTGAAAGATTTTTTTTCCTACAAAGATTACAAGAAGTATACATTTATAAATGCATGAAATATCTAAAAATTCTCTGATGAGTATAATGAAAATTTATGCCATTTATTTTAAAGTTATGTGATTAAATTTGAAGAAATACTGAATTTTTGTTGAATGTGATATATAAATGATATAAATAATAATGTATACTTTTTGTTTGGATATTTATAAAGGCATATGAAAATGTTATTACTATCTTTAATATATTAGCTTTCATAGAATGAAGGCGCATTTCGATTGTTTTTGTTTGTCAGTTGTTAATTCATCAGTATTTGGTTTCTTATGCTAAAATATATTTAGCAGACAAAGTTTATACTGGGCATAACTTGTATTTTTTTTTTTTTTTTAATTTGAATTTCCTGTTTGAGTTTTTACACTTTTTTTATTTTACTTTGAATTAATTTGCTTTGTAAAATTTTAATTTCATAGTACATCAGAAATGCAAAAACTCCGAAAAATATACGTCCATTTACTGGAAGGCCTTTAAATTTTGTAAGTTCAAAGCTTTTTTATTTGGTTAATATTTTTTTAATTTTTAAAATTATGACAGTTATTTCTTTTAAAGTTTTATTTTTATTTGTTGCTTCACAAATTCTTAATATTTATTATTTTATGTAATTCATTTGTATTAATCAATTTAAGAATCAGTATTAATCAATATAACCCTCTCAGCGTTACGGGTTTAGCCTTGAAATTTCAAAGTTCCTCAAAATGTCATGAATAAGTGATATTTTCTTGATTTTAATTAAAAAATGACTCTTTCATTTTGTACCTTGATTCCTTTTCTTCCAATAGACATCCAAACTGAAATCAGATACATTAAAAGCTAGCAGAAATTTTCATGTATAATGAATGTGGAAGGCAACCTTCTGTACGGAATTTTCCGGTTTTAACGCTGAGAGGGTTAAGAAAGTAAGTTTTTATAACCACAATTACTAGTACACATGATAGGCTCAACATATATTCTAATACAAGCTGATTAAATGCATAATTTTTAGAGTTTTTGAAGGAAACACTATTAGCTATAACATAATTTATTAATTTCCATAGTATATGTTATGACCTTCATATGCTAATACAAATAAACCAGTGCCTCTACTAAATTAATATCATGCATTAGCTCATCATTTCAGTGATTCCCAACCTGTGATACATGTACTTCTTGAGGAATGTGATGATTTAGTCAGTAGTATGCAGAAAGTAACCAGTGATGGTGAAAAGTAGCAAAGTGTTATAATGAATGCTAATAAAAAGGAAAATATTTAGCAAGTTTAACTCTTTAAATAAAAGGATGCAGCTGAGAGAAATCCAGATGTGACCATTACTGACCAAAATGCATAAAAAAGCAAAGTAGTTAGTAGCAATTAATTCTGTTTACACCTTTCATATTACTCAATTCTTTATACATGATGTCTAATCATCCCTTTTCCACACTTTGTCTCTCCATATCATATAAAAGAATTGGCTGTCAATCATATTTTCAGTACTGAGCAAATTATACATTTAAAGCAGTTTGAGTGTGGAATTTTGTTTTAAATTAGCTTTTGTCTTTTTGAAATTGTTGAAAGTGTAAAGTGGTATTTATTTAAAAATGGATAAGTAGTAAAAAAATACATCTTTCACAAAACTAAAACTGTCCTGGATAACTTTGATTTGATGTCTACTCCTGATTGCCATAGACACCAAATCAGAGTCAACACTTATTTGGAGACTTAAGTTCACTCAAATTTAAAATTTCACAACAATGAATTGCTTTAAATATTTGCATAACTATCTGATAGTTTAAAAAAATGAATTCAGTTTAGAATTACAGAATAGTTATACAGAATAGTTACAGAAAGTATAACTTATTGATTATATTTTTTACCTTATTCATTGTAGTTTATTAAATTTATTGCATTAAGCTATTGCAATAATAAGATATATTGCAGGAATGCTTCAGGGGGTTCATAGGTATTGAAAAGGGAGGTTAGAGGTACTTTATAACTACAGAATCATATTAAGAGATATGGGGGGGGGGGAATTTAGAGCTACTGATTAAAAAAAAAAAAAAGTATATTTTTCTTAAAATTTTCGATTTTATTGAGCACTTTGAAGAAAAGCTATTTAAGATGTTTATTGTTTTCACTTTGTGATAAAATCCTGTTCATGATGATTAAACATTATTGCCAGTCAGCAATGAATAAGATCTCTCATTTATGTTTAGCATTATAAAAGTGTATAGCTCAATTTGGTATTAAATTAATCATTATAAGTGAATTTACCTGGAGTTTTGTTTTACAATAATTGTTATATATGAGTTTCATAAATGACATATGTTTTTAAATCTTCCATTCATGTTTGAAAAACATATATATGGGAAATGTTCAATAAGTTTTAAGCCAAACACACTTGTACAAGATAAAGTATCTAAAATTATTTTCCAAGTTTCTCACGTAATTCCTCTTAACTTATTATACCTAGTACAATCATCCATTAAGCACTGGATTCCAACAGAAAGCACTCATAGCAATTTTCAAACCATTCTTGAATGATACTTTTCAAATTATTGTCATTGCCATAATGTCAACCATGCAAATGTTGCTTTAGTTTTTAAAAGGAAATGAAGTCATTTGGACCTATTTCTGTAAATACAGTAGATTGGGGAGAAGTTGAAAACTGTATTTTTAAATAACAATCTGAATTCTGGTATATTGATACACTGTGTAAAAGCATTTTCTGATGAGTTTGTCTGATGGTTTATATTATGGCTTGATGAAATTATATCTGTTATTACAGTATTATGTGGAAGTAAGTAGTATTCCTCTTCATTTCCAAATAACTGCATCAAAATCTTGGAAAATTTGTGGACTTGGGAAGATTCATCACATTTCCAAGTACCACATTTTATACATGGACCACAGTGGTGAAGCATCTCCTTTACTAGCTCTGAATCATTTTCGATTTATATTCATTGATTTCAAAATTTGTACTACCTGTGAATAAAAAAAATTATTGGTGTTTATTATGGACAGCTATTTTCGAGAACATTTGACCTGATGTTTCTTATTTCTACTGTTAATATTTTGGGAACATGTCTGGTATAGACTTTCAGTATCTCTAGTTTTTCATACAGAATTTCTTATGCTGATCTAACACTGATGCCCGTTTTTGTAACAGTCTGAGAAACTATCAATCATCTATTTTCTATGTTATATTTTCACAGCATACATTTTTAGTGGTCACATCTTCACTGTGTCCTGCTCTGAAATCGTCTTTGTGTGACACTGTATCCTGCAGCCCACTTTTTGATGGTGTAATAGGTTATATCTTCATAGATTGCAACCCTACATTCATGAATATTTGTTGATGCTGTGTCTTTTTTTGTCAAGAACTTAATTACCAACACAACTTTGGATATTTCATAGCTGCCAGCTCTCCCGTTTTTAATTTTTATCCTTTACTAAGGAATCTACAAAGGAAAATGTTTCCCTGCAATAAATATAATTTACTACAGGGAGCATAAAATTTAAAATGCATTTTTACTGCAGAATAAATTTAAAATATATTTTTACTGCAGAATAGAGCATACAATTTAGAATATCTAATTAAATACTAATATATTTTACATCAGAATTGTACTACAATTAGTTCAATAACCTGATATGAAGTGAATTTAAATCAGTTTGAGCTCCTTTGAAATGACATGGTTGTACAACTTGGAAACCTGCTGGTTTCTCCTAATTTGCATGCAAAAATCTCTCTGTTTTTCAGATTTCAAGATTGTCAGCTATGATCAAGTTAAATATTAATATATTTTATATCAGTAATCCGAATCATGCATTACAAAGTGAATTTAAGTCAATTTGTTGTCCTTCTGAAATGGTACTGCCATGCGATATGAAAAAAAACCCTCCTGAAAACACTCTGTTTTTGGAACAAGAACATCCTGTTTTTTATATTTCAAGGTTGTCAGCTATGATATTTTTTTTTTGTATTAAAAGGTGGCACTAACTGACAACATTTAACAGCTTTTCAAAAATCAAGTAATAACATTTGTGTGTACTTTTTTCATATTAGATTGAAAAATTTCACCATGTTTTTTTTTTTTTTTTTTTTTTTTTTTTTTTTTTTTTTTTTTTTTTTTTTTTAAATTATGACTGAGAATTTATTGAACACCTGCCATACAATAGTAGTAATTTTGTATTTATTTCTGCAAGAATTCACCAAATCCTTATGTGGAAAGTGCTGTTCATGAATCAGCTGTAACTCCAAAAGTTCACCCTGAATGGAAAAGGAACAAAAAATAATTTTATGTAAGTATACAATTTAAAAATTTGGGCATCATGGAGTAGCAGCATATATGTTAAATATACATACAAACAGTTTGCTTTAATTTATATCTGCTTTTTATTAATTTATAAAATACAATAAAATTTAAAATGGCTGCTGGAAGTGACGATTCTTAACATATGACAACAGTGTAATATATATAATAAAACTTAGTTTAACTGAAATGATAAAATATATTAAGCCTGAATTGGTGAACCTAAAAAACCTTTTGTTATAAACCAATTTCCCCCCTCCTAATAATTTAAAGGGGTGGGGAAGGATGCACAATGATTTTGAAAGATGATAATGATCAAGTGCTTTAGCCTCTAGAATGCTGAAAGGTTTATTCTAGGTTTATTTTCTGACATAAATCAGCATTTTTATAGTTTTCCACATACATAACCTAAATGCAAGCCAGGTTTACTTGGAAACTTCTACAGGCATATAGTTTTTTAGTGGTTTTCTATTAATAAAATGAAAAAAAAGGGAGGGGGATCTTTCCTGAAGGGGGGTAAAAAGCTTTGAAGAGCAAAATCTTTGCTGCTGAAAAGAAAGGTGTTACTTTCCCAAACATCAGAATGTGCTTTGTTGTTAAGTACAAAAAATTGCTAAATGGCTTTACCAGTTTTGTGCCTTGCCAAAATGAGGCAACTCTGTGGCATTAATAAATATAAATAAAAGAAAGTCTTTCATGTGTAAAAGAAAGTGGAAGTCTTTCATGAAAAAACAAAACAAAAAGTTGTAATCGTTCCGATTATTTTAAATTTCAGACATTTTTCTGGCCCTTATAAGAATTTGAAAACAGTAGACAAGAAGATTGAATGCTAAATCATGGTTGTTTAAAAAAAGAAAAATAATAAAAAAAAAAAAAAAAAAAAAAAAAAAAAAACTTGCAAATATTAAAATAATTTTCTTATTATTGTTTTTCTCTTTAAATTGTTGTAGCCAGTTTCACTTTTTTGTAGCTCGGTTAAAAATACAAGATGTTAGAAATACCATTTGTTAATTAAACCAGTGCTGCAAATGTTTATTAGTATTATAGATTAGATATAGTATCAAGAATATCTGATAGATATTGTATGAAAAATAAATGATAAAAATTAATAACTACATAAATGAGTACTACAGTGCTTTGGAATGGAAATAAAAATTAAAGATCTCTTTCAAGCTAAGGTAAAGGCAATTTGTAGATGCAAGCAAAGGGGGAAAAAAACCCCTTTGTTGTGGATGACAACAACATTTGATGTTTACTTGTGCTTAGCAGCAAGAAAGCTTCTCTTTTTGGAGCGTGAGGGTGCATGCGTCTGTGTAAATTGTATTAACCCTTTGACTACAAATTAAAAAAAAATTACCCCATTTCCTATCCAAGTGAACAAAATATGTCATAAATAAGGTAAATTTAGCATTTGGGATTTTTTTGACAAATGGTTTTCAAAACCAAAGGCATATCACACATGTTCCAGCCGTAGTTAACGGTGGGCTACATATGTCCCACACGTAGAGATCGACTTACTATAAGGACACCTATTATTCTGGAAAACGTTATTATATGAAATAGATTTGACATCATAGGGTACAGGATAAAGCATTCTTTGCATAACCCAACATTACACATTGGTGGGCAACTCATATTTGTTCTTTTCTCTATGTTCATCTGTATACAATGAGCACAGTGGCGTCTTGATTTTCCAACTATTGGAAGATGATCCCCAACATTTAGGAGATTCAAAGTACTTTTTAACCCAGCAGTAATTTATAAACTTTTAGTGGGAAATATATGTCCCGTTAGTAGTCAAAGGGCTAATCGGAAATATAAAAAAGGATATATATAGTGAAAATCTTTTAACATGAAACTGAGGGGACTGAAATATTTTTTTGTGCTAAAGGATATTTCAATATATTTATATTCAACAAAATTAAGTTTATTAGAGTGCATTTTATTTTCATAGATATGTATACATGCATGTATTTAATAAAAATCAATGAAACCAAAACAACCACAAGAACTGAATACAAAATTTTCAAGTTTTTTGAAAAACACAACATTTATTGAGTTTTTGGAAAATAATCTGATATTTTTCTTTGCATTGCCTTTTTTAACATCAAACTGTCAACAAATTATTCGATATCTTCCATTTTGTTATTCATTTCACCATTGGAATGTGCATCTAAATAACTGCGCATACTTTTCATGATGTTCTTCATTTCGGATGACGTGGGAACAAAAGCTGCATTATTCATTTCATTTTTGTCATTGGAATCTGCATCAGTGATATTTTTTTAGCTATGAACAAACTCCAAAATGTCTTTGTCTGCCATAATTGGGGTTGTACACACATTATCATCATCTAGTAAAACAAATTCTTCCGATGATACAGTAGAACAGTTCAGTGATACAGAAACTACCTCAAACATTTCATTAAGTGTTGGCTAAGTTTCAATATCCACCTTCTCCATTTCTTGGTGCGAACCAAACTCACTGATTTTTACACACACTGTGATGTACTCATCGCTGAATTCCAAAGCCAACTTATGAGAGATGAGACGTTTTTGTGTGGCATTTGTAGGGCTGTAGGGGGAAAGTAGCTCAGATTAACAAAATTGGCTTGCATCACAGGCTATTCCAAGGGTATTTCAAAGTCAGGTTTAGCTTCCTTTCTGTTAAACATGTGAAACCACATCTTTCTAATTTCACTGCCCTCTTAAAACTCACCTGCGCGGCTGGTGTTTTCCTTATTTTGTTCATTCCCAGAAGGGAAATCCTTTTATGTTAAGCGATTTTCGTTTCATGTTAGAAGGGGGGGGGGAAATGCATGAAAATATATAGTAGTTTGTCAAGACCATTGCATTATTTCGTTTTAACTGATATTTCATCTTAAGTATTTTAAAGTTAAATGTATTTCACTGTATACAAAACATTTGTTACCCTATAGTAGAATTTTGGCTGGCAGAGTATTTTTACACCTGAAAGAGGACCCATGCTAGTCTCCTACAAAGTGTGTATAAATTTTCTATAAAATAAACATCAATATAAGCACAAATTTAAATTAATGAATGTTTTAATCCTCTGAGTAGCATTTTAGATCTATCATGAAGACTGGTATTTAAACAAGATTTATTAATTGATTTTGCATAATTACTTATTTTAGTCTCTATTTTTATAAACTTACATTCATTAAGATGATATTTACATTATTAAAGAAAGTAAGAAAGCAAAACATCTAAACGCGTTATGTGCATTATAATGTGTTATGCATTTACGCATGCGCAGAAAGTTTGTAGCTTTGAGGTTCGGATTATAGATCATTCCGGATTATGGACATCCGAATTAAAGACTTTTGACTGTATTTACAAAAATTGCTTTTTGTAAATACAAAAGAATTCAATAATACAAAAGAATGGAAAGAAATTTCTGTTAAATTTCTCCTCATCAGCATACTCAGCGCTTTGCAGTGCAGTTGGCTATAATTGTTGCCAAGTTGTCAACATAAGAGGTTACCATGCTTATGTTGACAACTGTTTGGTATTCAGTTACTAATATTGAAAGAAACATTATTGAGTAAGTCATTTCTCAAGCTGCTATTAGTTGATAGTTGTGTAATGATAAAAGTAAAAAAAATAAAAATAATTTGCCCTTTTGACTTCAGGAATGTAAGTTATACAGTAGAGGTAAAATAAGTGCTGAACTTTAGTACAACATTTCAGTTTGAGATGTATGCCAAGCAAATGGTGGTTGCAAAACCAAATTATTGATCATACAGATTTATACTAATAAATGATTGTTTTTTCAATGTGGAGATATATTATTTAACATTGAATTGAAATTAAGAATGCATCCATATGATTTATTATGGAAAAAAAAAAAAAAAATGTCTACTGCACATATGCAATCAGCATAAGCAATCAGCATATGCTAAATGTTAAAGCACTACTTTTGGAATCCAATTCTTTCTCCATTTTCTGAATTTTTTTAGGAGGGCGGTTTTCACAACAAATTGCTGGAGGTCTAGATTAGTTCATTCTGGATTTCAGACTTTGTATTGCATTAATAAATAAAACTTTGAAATTTTTATTAAGACTGCGTATATATTTCTTATATAAACTTTGTGTAATTAAGAAAACTTTTAATTTTGTTGAAAGTCAATTAAATATATGATTGTTAAAGGTTGACACACTTTGTTTGATTTAATTTTTTGTTTTTGTATAGGAAGAATTTTAGAAGTCTTGAAGATATATATATATATTTGAAGCTTTAATTACATTTCTTGCTGTTCTTCAAGATACGAAATAAAAAGTGAAAGGCAGCTTTAGTCATGTATATGAGAAAATATTTTTATTGTATTATTCTTGCATGTAAACTTTTATTATGATAGAACAATTTCTTAATTTGAAAAGCTAGTTTTTGCTTACCAGTGAGTAAATTAGTTTGCTTAAGAATGTATACTGAATTCTTTCCATCACCTAATATTTTAGATTATATCTGTAGATTAGTTTGTATTTTATTTTTTGAAATAATAAAGTAAATTTTCTCTTAAATTATATGGCTCTAGTGGTTTTTATTATTTTTGTTTCTTATTTGTTTAAAACTTTTGTAGGTGGTTCTAGTGACAGAAAACTGAAATATGCACATATCAATTACACTTTTTATTTTATGATATTTATGCCAATAAAATGAATGAAAGATATATTTAAATAAATGGAAAAAATATTTTTACAAAGTATTTGATAGTTTTAGGATAATTTATAATAGTAAAATGAAATTTAAAAAATTGTATCACTGATCCATTTATTGTGAACTATTTTATGTTCTCCCTTTGAATTCATCATTAGTTCTTTCAACTAACATTTTTCTCGTTTTTAGTATGTGAAGCATGAAAGGAATATGATCAACAGATTAATTTAATGATCTACGTAGTGAAAATCAGCAGTAACAGAATGACACATATAAGCTTATATTATGTGTGCTTATACATACACACATATCGTAAGCTATATGTACAGGAGTCTCAGAATGAAGTTGTTAAAAACTGTTCTGTAGTCAAAGATATTTAAAAATGTGTTGTGAACATAAAACAGAAAATGTGTAGATAGGAGTGAATAGCTCTCTCTCTCTCTCTCTCTATATATATATACCACACTAAGGTCTCTCTAATTCAAGTTGCCTTGCTACTTATATATATATATATAGCTATTATATCTTTAAATACAATATTATGCCCTCAGTATATTGCTGGAATTTGTGAATAAAGGATCTGAATGTTTAAAAGATGAAATTCATCACATGATCTTCAGTGACAAAAGATGTGAGGGTGTCACCTTTCTCTTATTACTGATTTTCACATTCTCTTAAAATCCAATATCCATAAACCATTCCTACTACAGAACTAAATGGTATTGGCGATTCATTTTATGAAACTGATTTATTTTATGGAACTATTTAACAATAAATGGATTAAATTCTCTCTTTTTTCTAATTAGGAAATTATGATAGAAGAGATAATGCTTAGATTTAAAAAAAAAAAAAAAAAAAAAACTTATTGTTTTCACAAGAACCTTTGAAAATTATGCATCTTTTTGCTATTTGTTTCAGGTTTCTATCAGAAATCCAAATGACATTACACACAAGTTAGAAGTGAAAGTGCATATAAGTAAAAATAATAAATCACTTTAAAAATACTTTTTAAATAACATTATAGTTAAAATGTACTCAGCCCATGGGTACTCGCCCATGCTATAAATAGTGTTTTAAAAGATTTAGAAAATTCCTTAATATTATTCATTTAAGGATGAATAATATTAGATGTATAATATTATTCATTCAAGGATGAATTTGCTTTTATAAAAGAACTGGACTACCCAAAAACAAAATTGCTTTAGAAGAGTAAAAATGCATATACTTGTGACAATTTACATGTTTAACAGTCTAGAGTTCTCCCTTGCTTGAAAAGTCAAGCAAATGAAAAATGGCGGGAGAGTGCAGGTGGAAATAAACACAGAGGGTGTTAACACATTTTAGAATGATTCAATAATAAAAAATAATAAATAAATAATAAAAATTATGTGTTTTTGGAATAAAATTTTCTAGCAACAGCTTATTATTTGAAGTGAGAAATATTGTCTGCTACTTTTAAATTCCTTCTTCTTTCAAAATGTTGCATGTAAACAATCTGTATATTGAAGGATATTTTTTTGTGCTTTCAGAAGAGAAAAATTCCTATTTCATATCTAACAAATGTTGTGAAATAAAATGTATCAAAATTTCTAAGAGCAAAATAAGCAACATTATTAATGGGAAAAAGAAAAACTGTCAATCATTATGCCTACATGAGATTCAAATGAATATCCAGGGTTGATATGGTCCTTAGACCTTAAAAGGCCTTAGTTTATTTGGAACCGATTTTTTTAATTTCTGCCAAAATCGACAGAAGGTTCTTGATTTTAATCATCTGAAATTTCTGTCAGTCTTTTCGACTGTCATTTTGAGTGTAAATTAGCATTTTGGAGGAATACTTTTGGTGATTCACTAAGAAATATGGTTATCTTTTGAATGGGTGAATAAGTTCATGAGATATAATTTGTACCTAAATGGTAGGATACTTGAGTTTTTGAGTAAGAATTGAAGCATTAGCATTTCGAAATTATTTAATTTTTTTTCTGATGAAGAGCTCTTAAACAACCTTTCGCTTTGGGGATATTAATTCTTTCATTAAACTGTTCTAAATTTGGTGATTTAAAGATCAGTTTCTATAGAAAATTTTTAATTCCAAGATCTGGTAATTTTTCGAAGATTTTTTTTAAAACATTGTAACATTGATAAATTTAATTAAAATAATGGTAATATATTGAAATTATATTTAAAAAATAACATTAAAATAAAACATTTTTAGTCCAAAGGGGCTTTGTCCCTGAAGGACTATTGTTTTCATTTTGTGATTTTGTGTTGAATCACTATAAATGTCCGTTTCACTTTTCAAACTGTTGTCACCAAATGTTAGAGTCCTGCATTATGTTTGAAGAAATTAAATAATGAAAAATTTGCATAAATGTATGTATATTTCTCGCACTTTGATAAAAGAACGGTACATACAGCCATCGAATTTTGAATGATGTAATCCTCTTATAAATATGGGCATGTGGAATATCAAATTTGAAATTTGGAATTTGTTCTATGATCAATTTCATATTTTGTAAAACTTTAACTAATTTTGAGTAACAAACTCAACGATTTAAAAGCGAGCAATAGCAACACTATATGGGGGGGGGGAAACCTTATCTCCAGCGCGCGGAACTGTGTATTGTAAATTCTAAAGATATGCTCATTTAAAAATTATTTTGCGACATTGCTATTGAACTGAATTTTATGGTTTAAGTGCAAAGAGCGTGATATTTAATAAATAAAGGTAACACACAATATGTTAAAAAAACATACCTTTGGACGTCATTTCAAATCTGAAACCTTTCAGATTTCTTTTTATTTTTTGCTGTCATATTATAAAGTTCCATTGTGGTCACTTTGTAATAAAGTAACTACAATGGAGGTCAAAGTTTATAATCTGAAAAATAAACAAGGAATAATGCTATAAAGCACAATTTACAAAACAGTTCTTAGCAAAAGCAAAATAGCTATGTAATTAATTAAAAATGTCATCTTTTTAATTTTTTCCTGGTAAGAGTTTTTCCCATGGAACTGTCTCAGAATATGCATCTGTTTTCTCTATAAAATTAATTTTTGCACTTTTTCCCTCTGATTTTTTTTTTTTTTTTTTTTTTTTTTTTTTTTTTTAACCAAAATATTTCTGGCTTTTTGTTGTTACAGAATTGGTAGGGGTAATTTTACTTAAAATAATAAAAGAAAGGATTTTAGACAATGTGGCTTGGAAAGTTTAGAAGGATTTGAAGGCAAGATTTATAGACCCACAAATCTAGAAGGTTCCAGAAAATTGTCTTCACGGTATTAATACGTAATGAGTGTACTTTACAGGAAGTTTGTGATGAACTTTTTGGAAGAGCAATTAAAACATATTTTTTAAATCTTTTACTTCTGATACTATAATCTTTTTCTTAACATGTTTATCTTCCCTACTTTTCACTAGGCACAAGCATGGAAAATATCAGAAATGCTTCTAATCTTATCACATGGTCAGGCATTATAGAAAGGAATTTTTTAATACAGTCAAAAGTCTTTAATCCGGACCTCAAAGCTACAAACTTTCTGCGCATGCGTAAACGCATTATGCGTCTACGCATGCGCATAATATGTTTACGCATGCACGTTTAATGTATAAAGGACGGTATAAGCTAAGCTAAAATTATCTATTTCAGTTAATGTTGCAGATTGCGTTGTTCCTTAATCTTCTAATTGGATCCGGCTTATTATTTTTTGCAGACTGTTAGAGCAATTTTATAAAACTAAGCTTGAATTTTTGATTATGTCAAAAAAGAATTTCCAATTCTGGAGCTGCCTAAAGATCTGCAAAGCGAAAACATGTTTCGACGTCAATCAAACAAAAAAAGGAATTGCTGCAAAAAATGGATAAAGGCATGAAGAAAGTGACAGAGAGGTGATTTGTTTCTCTAACCATTCCGAAGTCTGTTTATCAATTTCACGCTGCTCTCGTTGCGCAATGAACTGGAAGTTGATCTGTCAGCGCGCTATATCTTCAGGGCAGATGTTTTTATTTTATTCGGCTTATAATTTTCACTAAATGTAGTGTTTCATCTCGATGTACTCCGATATAATTAAAATAAATTTCCTCGTTATTATAATTATTATGAATACATATCAAATAGTTTTCTGGTTGCAATTTTCTAATTTCGACTATGCGTAATGTATGCTTTACGCATGCACACGTTGAAAGAATGTTTAATAAAGTAAACAAATAAATATTGAACCTTTTTTTTTTTTTTTTTTTTTTTTTTTTTTGATACACTTTAGATCATAATTGCTCTTTATTTCATAAATTACGGTTTCATATTTTTAATTTTATAATTTCTGCATGCTATTTTAGCAGATTTAAACTGATGATCTATAATCCGGAAGAACCGATAATCCGGAATCGCCTGATGAGTCCGGATTAAAGACTTTTGACTGTAATAAAGGAATTGAAAACAAACAATTTAAACCATTCTTCTAATGTGTCTTAATGCATCATACACATGGCTGATGCTAGGCATTTTCCCACCTGGTACAATCTTCTGTGGATCCTAAATTCTGTTGCCTAGTGCCTTTCTAAATTCTGGTTCCAATGCCTGCTCTAAATTCTAAAATTTTTTCCATTTCTAGATTTTGTTGCTTCCTATTTCACTAAAAATTCAGCCACACCAGCTCTGTAACCAACCCTTACCATATATATTTCATATTTCTTCTGAATGTTCATATTACCAAAGAAATCAAATTAGCAGCTTTTTCTATACATTCTAAATGCATTTAGTTTTTTCAGAATAATAGAAATCTTTAATTAAATCCAAAAATTCTAAAATGAAAAGGAAATGTATTGAAGAAGGAAACAATGCATAAAGAGAAAGAAAATTATTCT